TCTTTCTCTCGAGAAAGTACAAGTAACACCTTTGTTGGCTAACCTAGTTCCATAAGTAGGTATGGTGAGAGAAACTTAGTGACTCCGTTGACAAACTTTCCACATTAAGAACACATAATCAATATGCACAGAAGTTTGAAAACTATTATACATTAACTAAGGAAGTAGGAAACTTATGGGAAGCTTGAATACAACACGACCAAGAAAACAATATACAATTGATTCTTCTTAATTTAAGTTTCAAATATGTAACGTAACCAAAACTAAAATAAAATACAGGGTGGTTATCAAGAAAGTATTGCAATTCAGGGTATTATACATAACAAATAGTATGGGATAGGAAGGTGAAATTACACAAAGGTATTAAGGTTATCATTCGGGTGCAAGTGCCATAGTTGTCATATGGTACCACCGGGGGGGGGGTGTTACTATGATACCTTTTGCATATTTTCCAAAAGTATAAATAGTCATGTAGACCGCAGTACAGCTCATTCAACCAACATGAAACTGAAAGTTGCATGGAGTAATGAACTAGTGAAATGTTCTTACACCAAAGGACGCAATGCCGAATCAGCTGTCAGGAAATACTTTAGAGTTTACAGCACCTGCAGAGGGTCTTGTTCCAATGTTTCTTCACCAAGTTCATACTCAAGTTTGAGGAAACAGGTTGCACTTGTAATAAGCCACATATAGGCAGATCGTCCATAGCAGAACAAGCCAGCAAAAGTGCACATTATGTTGCCCGATGTCTGGATTTACCAGTTTCAAATGTTTGTAAAGTTCTTTGGTCAATTTATTTTGCGAATATTTCCTTACAAGCCACATCGTGTTAAAAAAAAATTGAAGGAGACGGATTTAGCCCGACGTGTTTATTTTGTGTTGCACTTCTTGGCAAGACTAGAAGTTGAATGGCCAATGGCCTGCCAATGTTTATCGAGTTATGAACCACCATTGACCCTTCTTGACAGTGTCAACATGCACAACTGCATTATTTGGTCGGAAACTAATCCAGCACTTTCAGAATAGAATAATTTCGCGTCGGTTTTCTTGTGAATGGTCATCTTGTCCATCGGAGCTAACACCAGCCGATTTCTGAATTTGGAGTATCTGAAGTCATGCATGTACTGTGGGAAGCCTTGTAGAATTCCATACCTCAAAGATGCAATTGCTTCAGAAGTGCCCAGCATATCAGTTGAGATATGCGTTATTGTTATCATGTCCAATATCACACGGAATGCATAGTGACGCCCCGGGTGACAATATCTGACAACTGTGGCATTTGTAATCACGTGATTACCTCACCATCCCTAATTATTACCACTTAAATGCAAAACTTTCTTTATAATCACACTATATGTTGATATTTCTACAAGAGAAAATAAATGTAGTCCATTTTTAAAAATCAAAACAAAAACACACCAAAGGACCATAAAGACAAATATTTTTCTTCCTATACTTGTCCTTTGTATTTCGATTACTGCCATTTTTATCTGAAAAAAGTTTAAAAAACACGACATAATCTTTACAACCTAACCCAGGATTTAAAGAAAAGCATACTTCAGTAAAATATAATACAATACGAAGATTGGTATTCTCAAGTGTTTTCAAGTGTAGCAATATCTCCAGGAAAAATAGAGCGTTCTTCAAACTATTTGATTTAGAGGTTTGTATATTGAACTAAATTACTTCCTTGAAAGACTTCACGAACGACGCTTTAAGTACAGGAACTGGGTTTTGAGTAATGGTGCTTATACCACATGTATTGAATCGATAGGCAGTTACTGACTTTTTCGCGCCACATATTGTTTTTCTATCCCAATATGATCCCATGGATATTTTGATAAAGAGTATGTACCTGACATTAGTAATATGACGTCATTGGTCCTGAGATCGATCTGCACTAGTCTGTTTTAGAAGTGTTCGAACAAGACAGAGTTTTCGTTATTACATTTGGTCTTTTTTTATTATCCTGATATTATGAGCTGTTAGTTTCGTCATACGACATTCTGGAGCATTCCACCAAGACCAGAAGTTCGAGGTTTATTATTCCGTATTACATGGAATTAAAATATCAATATAGAGCAGAATGAATAAAATATGAATCAATGCCATTATTACAGTTAAGAGCTTTGGTTCCACCGTTATTAGATATTTCTTTGTAAAAACCAAAGAACGAGCTTAACTTCTACAGCACTTGATATTAAATTCAGTTAACTTTTTGAAATTATAAAAAACTGTAAAGATTTAGAATTAGATGAATAGTATAGATAATGTGGTATAGTTTTTTATATCTCAAGAAAATCCACGAAGAAAGTCAGAGAAATATGTTTGTTTTTCTGGTCTTCGTGTTCATTTAATGTGTATAAAATCTGTGAGAACTATACTTAAAGTAAATTTTAGCTGTGACGTGATATTTTAAATCTTTAAGTCCAAAATATCAGTGCAATATAGTGTTATTATATTGTGTAGTATACGCATTACCACATCGTATTTCTTCCTATAAGTTTAGTTATCTAAAAATAACTTATAGATTGCTTGCATTGTATTTGTTGCAATAGTGTTCACACCATGCACGTACGCTACGAGATTATTGCACTAGACAAAGAACAGAAATAAATTTCTGGCATTCTACGTTTACTTCTGGTTATAATTATGCTGTCAAAGTGCAACATGTGATAACCCACATATTTAAGATAATATTAAATATGAATTTACGTTGTAAATTCATATTTTTCTTCTCCCTTTTTTAGTCACTGGTAAAGTTATGTTTGAATGTCCTTACTAAAATTATTGACTTGAAGCAGAACAATCAATAATATTGAAACATAATGTGGCCAATCTGTAAAAAAAAACAAAAAAAAAACTAGCGCTGTTGTTAAATAGAACAAATCTACAAAATTGCTTCCGAGTGCGTTATGTTACAGTCTTGCATTACTATGCGAAATGCACGAAAACCACGAACCTATAAAAGTAATACAAAAATGTGAATTTATTTAACTGATATATAATTTATCGCTCAATGGTAAGTCTGAGGGCTTATAACGCCACAGATCGAGTTGCGATATTCGCGGTGGGCAGAGCACAGATATTCCATTGTGTAGCTTTATACTTAACAAACAAACAAAATATAAAACCTAACACTTGTTTTACTTAAAAAATAAACTTTAAATTTATAATGAATCAGTTTTTTATCAAACAATCTACTCAAAATTGTTTATTACACATCTTTTGTTTATTGACCCACTATTTCCAGACTTTTTAAAAACAAGAAGAACACGTCAGATTTGCTGTACAATACAACCAATCGACTAAAGTTCCAAGCTGCTGTTGTGGGGATTGATAACATTTAAAAATATGAAAAATGGGTTTTATTACAAACGAGACACATTTGTAATAAACACTACGTTATATCTGTTTCACACAAACTTCACACCTTTAACAACTGGGTAGGTAAACAAGCTGCTAGTATCAACTATCTAAGTCAACGTATAATCATCAGCTGCTATTATTAATTTGTTTTTAAGTAATAAGATTTGTATCCATCAGAGTCACTCTCTTAGGCCTAATACTTGTAATAAAAATTATGTAAATGCAGATATTTGTTTCCCACATTTAAAGAAACATCTACAGTTCACATGATTCTTATTGCAAACTTTAAGCACATTGGTTTCTAATACTTCGCCAGCTTTCAGCGTTTAAACTGAAGTGTAATTAGTGTAAACTAGTGTACAGTAAAACGTTATTTATGTGTGAGACTTTTCGATCCATTTCGCTGACAAAAGTTTACATATGAACGCGAAAGCAGCCACTGTGTCGGTGTGAACCGAGTAGATATGAACTGTAGTTTCAACGTACGTATGAATGCATTAAACACGACACTATGAAAGTATTATTCTTTCAACAATAAATGATACTAACTTTACAAGCTATATTACGCTCCAATACATTTTACAACTTCAAACATAAATACAATTATTGAGAGTTTCACGAATAATACGTTTTTCATATTTATTCTGCTTTAGTAGGTTCACGCAGCTATGATCATTCCTCAATTATATTTCAGGCTCACAGGGGTATAATTTTGAGACTCTTTTATAATATGTGTCTTTCTTAAAGACAGTATCTTATGTTAAAACCTAAACTTTTCTACGGTGATTTGAATAGAAATGACGTTAAAGTTAAGCACATTTGAAGTTTTAAACAGAAAAAGAGATCAATTTTCGTTTAAATTACATAATTCAAAAATATGTTTGATGCAGGTTCATATAGAAAACTAATAAAAATAAATCATGAGTTTAACTCTCCTATATGCTTAGTTTCATCACTTTCTTTTGTATTTATTTTCTGTTGCAGGTTCTTGTAGTCTTATAATCAATATAGCTTAAATTAACTTTCGTATTCTTAGTTTTATCACTTTCTTTTGTATTTATTTTCTGTTGCAGGTTCTTGTAGTCTTATAATCAATATAGCTTAAATTAACTTTCGTATTCTTAGTTTTATCACTTTCTTCAATGTATTTTAGCTCTTCTCACAGCGTTCCTCGCGTGTTTCTCGGTTCTTCCTGTGCTAATGATGATATTTGGTAAGATATTTTTAAACAACATTTTTATATGGCTCTTAATCAACGTTCTTACATAAAACTGTTAAAAAAAAGATAATTGTTGTCAGTATATTTCATGACAAATCATATTCCATCATTATTATTATTTTAAGATTTTTTTCCTTTATATTGCATATTGATAATCCTAAGATATAGATGTTTATACAGAGATGTATAGTTAAAAATAGAGATTCAAAGAAAATTAACCTTGTATAATTTTTGATACACGTATTTTTCCATCTATGTAATGAAATCATATGCGTACATAGACGATATCACTGATTAATAGATATTATAAGTATTGCAACTATAAACATGATACATCAGAACTTTACGTATAAGCACTCTTTTCCCAGTATAACATAGAAATTAGGTTAGTCATTAAATAACCTACCTACTCCTTTTTAGAGACTGCAAACTAACGAGAAATTCATTTTTTTTATTCTATAAGTACTTACATTAGTTTTAAATGCACGTTTTCCTGTGCAAAATATTTCAAGCTATCTTTAATCTACAATTTCCGTAATTAATAATTAAATATACTTTTAACTGATCTCGTCACTTATCTTTAAAATATTTTTAGATATTAACTAAACAACTAATTTTTTATTAAACCAAACTTTTGAAAGTACTCGTTTTAACAAAAAATTTTTTCAATATTTTAGGAATTCAGTATCTCCAGGATTGTCCAAAACAACCCAACATACCAGTGTATCTACTAGTAGGTGGCGCTTTCGGGTTGATTAAAATAATTTCCACAGGATGGCGACAAACAAAAGGGCGTCATTATGAACCGCCGTCGGAAGCACTCACTGATGGCGACGTAGACGAGGTTTTGACGACGACATCTTTGAAGATCACTGATTACGCTCTAAGCATTTTCCTTGTGGTTTGGTTTATTATGGGAAATTATTGGGTCTTTAGTATTTACAAGCCACGCTATGAGCCTTTGCTTCATGACCCCAACAATTGGTGTGCAAAATCCGTTTATCTATTTTCAGTTATCCATTTATATGTCTGCTATGGTGTGGTGGTGTTGTTGGTCATTTTATTCTCTGTTTTATTTCTGTGCATTCGTACCTGTGGTGTATGTGATCAAAAAGTGTGATATGCTACATGTGAAGCACAAGTGTACATTTTTAAATATATTTAGTGGAAGTATGATGTAATGTTAACGTACATAAATTACATGTTTGTTTGTTTTATATTGAGAGAAGGGAGTAATAGCCCTAATATTTAACGTACGGAAATCAAATTCAAATAATCCGACTTACTATTTTCTGCTATAAATACAGAATTATTTCAATATTTTGGGTCCTTGTAAATTGAATAAAACTAATAAAAAGTAATTTTGGCTGTGATAAAACGTGTATTTTTTTAATTAAAATATTTTTATATGCATAAGCATAAATACTTGATTTAACTTCATTAATTCTTAGGGCGCTTGACTCGCAATCTGAGGGTCGCGGGTTCGAATCCCGTCTCACCAAACATGCTCGCCCTTTCAGCCGTGGGGAAGTTATAATATGACGGTAAATCCCACTATTCGTTAGTAAAATAGTAGCCCAAGAGTTGGCTGTGGGTAGTAATGACTAGCTGCCTTCCCTCTAGTCTTACACTGCTAAATTAGGGACGGCTAGCGCAGATAACCCTCGTGTAGCTTTGCACAAAATTCAAAACAAACCAAATCTACTTAAATATACGTATGTGTGTGTGTGTGTGTGTGTATGATAGTTTTCCTTTAATTATATAGCAACCAAAATTTCATTATGATTTTATAATTACTATGTAGATAAAGCTGTTGGCACGTCCTCTATTCCAGTGCTTCTCAACCTTTTCCAACATCATTCACCCCTATAAGTTCTTCACAACAGCTTACTCATGTCGGTTAGAAAAAAGACAAAAAAATATTAAATTAAAATGCAAAATTCTTTATTGTGACTTAAATACATCAAACTACAACTAGAATGAATACAACATAAAATAAACAAAA